CTCCGAGTCGACCAGACGGAACGCCGTCATGTTCACCAGGTTGTACCGGAAGTCTTCCAAGTCGAAGCCTTCCGCGTCCTGGAAATCATACGAGCATCATTTTGATTTTCGCCTTTTTTGTTCAGCTGTTGTTTTATCATTCAAACGCTCTGCATGGTATTTTACAACAGATGGACTTTTGTTTAATGACAAGGCCACTATAATAAACGTGCACATAAAGTTGTGTTAAGTTTATGTCTCGTCTTACAAAGGAAGTACGTGTCCACTTACAAAGGAAGTGAAGAGATAGTGGTAGCGATAGTCGTTCATCTGAAGCTGCAGCAACTGGAAACAGTTGGACACATTATGATCGTCGGCGACAGACTCTTGCTTCTGCCTCTGCTCAGCAAGTGTTGACCAACTGTATCAAAAACAGGTACAAATGGAACGTGCTAAGCAGGTTTGTACTCATTATACCGGTATCTAACCTAGCAGTGACGGGAGAGGTTTCGAGGCTTATTACAAATAGTGTCGGGCCGCTAAATGGCTACGTTTTTGTCATATTTGCAGCCAACAAAAGACAGAACGCACGCCAAAAGAAACCACGCCCCTTACAAGTACACGCTGCCCACAAACAGAGCCCGACACGCACACGGAGCGCGCCCGTTTGTTGGCGTCCGCGGCGATCAATGCCGAATCAGTCAGCCGACAGAACGGTGGCATAACTGGCAACCACAGCCGGAACGAATAGAAATGGGACACTTGCCAAATGAAGCCTGGCTGGGAAGATGGCCGCAGTGTGATGATAAGAGCCGCTTTTATTACGTGCTCTTTTGGAAGTGTGCCCAGGCTTAGTGAGACAGCATAATACACTAGGGTAGAAACAGAGGGGCAACTTTCAAGAAGGGACAGTCAGAAGACGCATGTTGAAAGGCATGGAAGTCTCTCATAGTCGCTCTCTTCAGATGCTATTTCGCTCCCACAAGCTATCATCGATCTAGATCAAAAGGTTTTCTGCGATGAAGGATGCCATCGTTATGGTTTCGCACTATATAATTCATGGCATGGGAGCCATGCTGTCCGGCTGCGTCACGGACATACGTGTATGAGGTATTCCCCGATACTATGGGCAGTCTGCGATGAAGCTTTTTCAAGGTGTTTTCTCAGGCATTTCTGTATACGCGGGGGGAAATTGTGTGTGCAAAATATAGCCTTGATACAATGCCTTTTAACCACTGTCACTCCGGTTTCAGCGTTATCGGGTTGAGCAGGATGTGGTCTAAGACTGCCGGCTACATTTTACTTTAATACGTGTGAGACTCTTACGATTTTGCATCATTTTCAGCACCTCAAACAATTTAAATCGAAGAAGACTGCGCGATTTATTGCCAGCAGCAATTCCATTCTCCATGGACTTGCGATTCCCGAGAGGTTCGGAAATGGTGAGGGCAAAAGTTAAGCGGCATAACTTTGTATTAGTAACCCAGACATGTATATGGTAACCGAATTCGTAAACTAACAAAATGTACACAGCTGTGCTCCCATTAACACGCAATATGGAAAGACTCCTTACGTGATCCGTCTGAGGTGAATGTATCAGGCCCATTGTCTCTGTCAACAGCATGGTTTAGACGGTTATGCCAGTGCAATTCCCCATCCCCACCCTCCGCCCACCCCGCTGTGGCCTTTGGGTACTCGTAACGGTTTCGTTCGGATGCTTGCAGTAGGTAATGCCTTTGTATTTCAACCTGCATCCGTGCTTTGCATGTTTGAATAAGGACTACAGGCGATAAGTAAACTTGTTGGTTGTCGCGTTCGAGATTTCAGCCACCGGATAGCTCATCAATCCTTGTAAGAACGCGAGGTCGAGAACGTCAGCTCTGCAGGAAAGAGAGTTCAGACAACCGTGGGAGCGCTGAGCCACATCCTGACGTAAGGAACAACGGAGAAAGCAACACGGGAATATGCAGGGAGAACCCAATGCGAAGCAAGAGGATCTTGATCCCGTTGATCATATACCCCATCTATCTAGCACGACTGGAAAACGCAGGGCTGAAGAAAGGAACTTTCCCACTGAGGTTCTTTGTTTGACGGATAATCGCGAGTTCAAGAGCTCACGGTATGAAATATCACGATATATTACGATATATCACGATATATCGTGAGCTCAAGAACTCACGATATATGATGGTTACCGTGAGCTCAATAGCTCACCATAACCATCTGCGTGACACGATTTCGACCAGCTCCTCGCGGCAAACTGTGATGACACGGGTCTTAGACGGAAACGCCTCGGTCAGTGCCGGATCCGGGTCTTGACGCACTAGAGGTTCAAACTGCTCCAATCAGTGTACCTGCCCCCCCCCCCCCGCCCCGAAGTGCTTTCATAAGGAGATCTCTGATACCGGATGATGACACCAAACATTGTGAGAGAGCCGCTCTTTCGACCAGCTTAAAGACGTGCGATGACAAACGAAACAAAGGAGCTGTTGCACAAGCTTCTGTTGAGGAAGCGTGGATGCTCGCAGCACTTGTCCACGATTGCTGAACGTGGTGTCGTCATAGTGGGGGATGAACGACGAAATCGATGAATTATTATTGAGTTCGATCATCATCGAGATCTAATCAAATGTAAAATCATCACGACCTGCTCATTTGCATCTGGTGTTGAAAAGGGTAATCCGACACTACCCGATGCCTCTCAGCCTCGCAGACAACGGGCGACAGCGTCGGCTGTTGCTGCAGCCAGTTCCGCTTGGGAGCTTGGGAACACCGATGAGCTTGGCGACACCGCCGGGGCCGGTCACAATGACAGAAAGTCGATCCACGCACTCTCTTTCATCGTCGCTTTTGTTTCAACAGTTTGTTTTCCCAATAGACCACCGCGTTCAGTGATGCTGACAAAGAACCCCCAGTTTTTCAACGACGCCCTCCCTTCGCGATCTGCGCAACTACCTGATTGAGCTTTTGTTGACCGCGTTAGCTAAGAGGAGCCGAGACCGACGGTCAAGGCTATTGCCAACAGGAGATGGACCGCAGAGCATTCAATGAGCTCTGTCCGATAGACCATTGCTGCTAGGTCACAAGTGACAACGCTTGTTTTGCTTTCCTGCGGGTCGCTTAGAAGGAGAAGGAAATAACAAAGAGCCTGTAAGTCATCCTCAGCCGTAAAGAAGACGGGGATTTCACTGGCCAGTTACTGTCTAACTTGCGCTTTCGTCTGACGGCGTGCCTTCCTGCAGCATGCTGGTGTCGCTGAAGAGCCCGCTGCTCCGTCTCAGAGAGAGAGAGTCCTGACCCCCCTCATGAGGCCCTGGAGGACCTCACTCCCGCTGGGTTTGAAGCAGACATTTGGCCTGTGGGATTTTGATGATGGGCAATATCAAAGAGGTGTATGAGACTACTTCATCATGCAAAATTCTTCAAGAGCCCCAATAATGTTCGTACCCCGAACCTCGAGTCTCGCCACCAAGACATCGGAGCTTAACCCGAGCACCGAGTCTCGCCTACCAAGACATCGGGGCTTAACACAAGCCCCGAGTCTCATCACCAAGTCATCGTGCTTAACCCGACCCCGTGTCGCGCCACCGAGGCGCGGGAGGTGCTGCTCACCACCGAGTCATCGGGGCTTTATTCGAATCTTGTGTCTTGCCATTGAGTCATTGGGGCTTAATCTGGGACCTGAGTCTCGCCGCAAAGTCACCGGGGCTTAACCCGAACCCCACATCGCGCCACCGAAGCGCGGGAGACGGCGCCTCCTCCACCACAAGGTGCAAGACCAGTCGGTTTGAGTTTTCCCCGCCATCGAGGCACCGGAGCACCAATATAGACCCGCCTGGTCTTAACAACCTCGCTATCGATGAGCTGGGATCTGCCAGCAACTGCCACGGGCGTTGAGTTACGCCGGCCTGGGGGCCCATGGGCTGGCGGTGGACAATGCATGTCCTTGCCCTTTGTCTTTGTTTTCCACCATGCACTTTTCTTTGACAGATCTTCCATCTCTCTCTCTCTCTCTCTCTCTCTCTCT